CGTGGCCCCCCCCCCCCATCCCCTCCTCCAACTGCTGCTGCTAAAGTCTGTGGGCTTCCCCTGCCTCCTCCGGCTTCTGTGTCTTGCCCTAGCCACTGGGAGCAGGGCACAGTTGGTGGAGCATAGCATGGCTGAGGGAACCTGCAGCCAGAGGACTTGGGGACACTACACAGTATTGGAGCACGGGCATGATGCAGCTGGGTGGGGGGCACGCAGTGGAATGGGGTGCCGGCACCATGCCATGATGTGTGGCCTATGTGGCACGCAGCTGTGGAGCATGTGGTCCCTGGCCACTCAGAAGTTAGACAGCCCCGATCTAGAATGAACGGTAGATGAAAAACTGAGTATCCAACATTGACTGGCATCTTGGAATCACACAACAAGCATTGCGGAGTTTGAGGAACTGGCTTCCACAATAAAAGGGAGGAGTATCTCCCTTTGTACAAGGAAGGATGGAGACTAAGCCTCACCAAAGGGCCACTCAGCAGAAATATTCTTAAATAATCCAAGGAATCGAAAGTGTGCCACCCACTGAAACTCTGCCTCAAATATGCAGAAGGACAGGGGAACAGAAGAGCACCCCACCACACCACCTTCCTAGTCTGCTAGATGGAAAGTCTGGCCAGGGCCAGGAGGGGATTGACCAGAATGTCTTGGAACTTAGTGGGGCTATATATGACGCATGTATAAACTAAAAGATATGGGGGAAAAGAGCAGCCAGGACCTCAAATCAATTTTTGAAGAGGTGGTAGCAGAGCTGTAGCCTGGCACCTTCAAGCTAGGCATGTGGCAGGGAGCATGTGGTATAGGCAGCTTCGTATGCTAGGTCAGCACAGGGGGGTCTACTCAGCCCTGCCTGAAGAAGTCCAGAAGGTCTCAGATACAAGTGATGTTGGCCAGAACCATCTTCCAGTGCTCCCAGGGTACTTCCATCACCGGTAACACCAGCTGCAGATTTTTCAACGGGCTCATCTAGAAGAACTGTCCCCTGGGTGACTGCATCTGCAAATGTGGATGGGTAGACCAACCTCCAGGTCCCAAGGAGGTTATGCTAGAAATCCAGTAACTTCTAAGGTCTCACTTAGGGAGATCTCTCAGGCAAAAGAGCTGCTTATCATATCAGAGCCCTTGGAGGTGGCAGAGGAAGGCATGCCCCTCCAGGCACAATGCCAAATGGCTATAAAACACTAAAGCTGCTGCTGCAAGGCCTGAGGCAGAAGGTGTGGACCTGGCTGTGGGTGCAAACCACTCCATGCCCTGCCTTCCCTTGAGCAAAGGGAGGCACAGGACACCTGTAGAGATCTGCTGCCATCCTGGCTAGAGAAAATGATAGCCTAGTACTACGGGCTGGCCAGGAGGTTCAGGGGCATGGGCAGGGTGTTGAACCAGCACCAGAATATAGACAGGACAAGCTGGCTGATGACCTGAGAGGGAGAAACAGTGGATGAACCTCATCTCTGGCTTCAAGTCAGTCCCAGTTTTCAAGCAGGCAGGGGTGGCTGAGGACAGGTAGACCCCCAAAGACAGCAGCAGGCCCGTGCTCTCCTTTAAATGGCTTGGAGTGCAGGCAGGAGTAAGTCCTCCCGTCACTCACCACCAGGCCAGAGCTCTTGACCCAGTTGATCCAGACAGGAGGCTACTGAGTAGTTGGATCAGAAACCTTCCCCTTGAACTAGATCATTTGGGTCCTAGATGGTCAGGAAGCCGTGGCTTACAGGACTGTTCATGGCACCAGCTCTGCCAACTACTTGCACAAGAGACAGAGGAATGGCTCAATGGGGATAGCAGAGTAGCTGTCCATTCTCTCTCCCACCTATGGAAACATAACCAAAAGTGTAATGTGCCAAAGCAGCACCCCATTTAATAAGGTAACACTATTTTGGAGTGTTTCCGCCACTTTTAGTACGTTTCAGAGGGCTTGAACATTTGTACATCTGGCTCTTTGAGATTATTTTAATTGTTAAGCCTTTCCATACCCAGTATCTCAGCCCCTATAGTTAAAGCTGCCCTATTTTGTATACACAAAATAAAATATTCACAGGAACAGCAGTAGGGAGAGATTTACTCTGTTGTGTGGTGGTCCGGGCACTTCTAACGCTTGAGAACCGTGGGTTCAAATCCCCCTGACTAGACAGAGTAGATATTTAAAAACATCTGCATCCCTGGTGAGTGTTCACTGATCTTAACAGAGTGGAGAAATCTCCCACTCCTCAGTTTTCCTGAGAAAGATCTGATCAGGCTTAGGCACTTAAGTCCAGGAGAGGATCCCTGGCTAAGAATCCCAAATAGAGATAGGTGCCTAATCACCCTTTGACTTTCCTACTGGCTGGCTTTGGGAGTTCCCCATGCAGTGCGCTGGCTTCTGTGAAGCTCATTCTTAGGCACCTGATGCCTAACTTGGAGCTTTGGATTCCAGGAGATGGCAAGGTTCAACTTGGTAATGCCTAGACCCCCTTGTGAATTTAGCCCTAGTCTCAGATCCTAAAAGTACATAAGTGCCTAAGGAGCA